AAAGAAACACCAAATAACACGGATAATTTTCGTGAGGGCAATAAAAGAAACATATAATAACACGAAGAGTTTTCAAGGAACGCAATAAAAGAAACACAAAATAACACGAAGAGTTTTCAATGAATGCAATAAAAGAAACAAAAATTAACACGAATCATTTTAAATGAATCCAATACAACAAAACACCAAATAACACGGATAATTTTCATGAACTGAATAAAAGAAACACAAAATGACACTAATAATTTTCAATGAACACAAAAACAAAGAAGCATAATATGGTTTATTTTAAATGAACATAAAGAGTTACACAAAATTACACGGATGATTGTCTTCTTTTATGTGCAGTGTTACTTCATGACGTAGGCGATCATGGCCCTCTACTTCTTCCTCTCCCTTGTAGCTCTTAATAAGTTTTGTCTTTTTGTTATTTCTCCCTAGACTTGTTCTGTCATCCATTTACTCACGTCTGTTACCCGCTGCTTTCGTCTTTCACACTATCTGGTCTGTGAGTATCAGATTTTGCAAGATCTCCTTCCGCAAAACCTGCCCCAGAACTGCTTCTTCCTGTTGTTAAATATAAGTTTCCACTTCGTTTCCATTCTCTCTAAAACTTCGTCGTTGCTCACATGTTCAATCCATGATATCCTCAACGTTTTTTTTTCTGTAGAACCACATTTCTGTTGCTTCGAGTCACTTCTTCATTTTTGAGGAGATTGTCCAGCCTTCGCTGCCATACATATATCACGTAAAATTTCAGCACCCTTTTGTTTGTTTCTAACGAAATTTTTCTGTCCCTTAATACTCTGCTTAGCTTTTGTAATGCATCTTTGTCAATGAACAAAAAAAGGAATCACTAATTAGTTTGGATAAATTTCAATGAACGCGAAAAGTAAACACAAAATTACAAGAATAATTTTCACTAAACACAAAGATAATTACGAAATAACGCGAATAATTTTCAATGAACACAAAAAGGAAACGAAAAAAAAAAGGATAATTTTCAATAAACACAAAGAGGAAAGACAATTACAGGAATAATTTTCCTTAAAGAATAAGTAGAGCAAGTAAAAATATGTATTATTCCTTTAAGAATAAACCTGCGCTGACCAATCAAGGAACAAATCTTTAGTTACTTAAGAGATAAATATTATGCTTTCTGCTTTTGTTTGCTGGACTGACTGTAGAAACGGAACAGTTCCTTTACTTTAGCTGGAATTACCATAACCTCGCTGTATAATAAAGCACTTTTGGGCCAAAAGAAATTAGATATTAACATCAGCTTGTGTCCTATTCAGCGAAGGAATGAAGCATTTAACATACTTTATTATTTGTTACCTCTTTTCAAAAATTTAATACGAATAATTTCCAGTGAATACATTTAAATTTCACACATATTTCATTCCGATTGTATCGGCTAGAAGGTAACATCGTATCATGAAGGCACGTGTCGCGGTCTCACGTACGCGTGTTTTTCGTACGCCTACAGCAGCTGTAGAAGAAATGTTTTTTTTTATCTTTTCGCAACAACGCGTACAATTCCTCAGTTTCAAAAAAGAAATTTAAATAAAGTATCGCATCTATGAATGCTGTGAGGAACCAATGGAAGAAGACTTTCGAAAAAGAGAAATGAATTTGCAAAAGTTCCAAGTTTTTTTCTCCGTATTTTTGAAGACTTCAGGCAGAATCTTATGGATTTATTACCAGATCTTGAAAGAGACACGCAGTTCTGCTAAATGACTGATCATGCACCAAGGTGCTTACCGGAAAGAAATCGAAGGCAAAAGGAAAAAAAAAAGAAATGTGTCCAGACAATGTCAGACGAACATTCTTTTCTGAAAATAGATAGAAATTCTCAAAATTGAATTTTAAGCAAAAACAAAATCTAATTTGAACAATAAATTTGATTTCTATCTTACTGTTAAATTGTGATAAGTATGGTAAAGTGGCTTGCCTGCTCAGGAGACCAGAAGAGCTATGCTAGCGTGGAAAAATCACCATTTGTAAAGCTGCGTGTTTGAATTAAGTCGGGGTCACCAGCTGTAAAATTATTCGGCAGAAAATATCAATTATCTCAAAATGAATGCATTCAACACATGGAACTGTTGCATCATACGGGAAATCTCCGAGGTTTTTATAACACTGTTGGACTCTACTTTGAGAAATAAATACTCTCCCAACTTAACAGAAGAATCGTGATCATAACGAAAATAACATGCTCATCATTAATTAATCATTGTTAAGGATCGGAAACTCATGAAGAACTAAAATAATGTTCATTATATATATATATATATATATAGATATATAGATAGATAGATAGATAGATAGATAGATAATATTAGTGATAAATATACACATACATATGCAAAATATATATACATACACGCATACATATGCATATATATTTTTTTCAATAAAAAAATTCCAAGAGGATAGAATCCAGGGAGAACTCAATGTCCAGGACAGAGTAAGGATATTCGCTTGCTTAAACAACGTTGATTTTGATTCCGCAGAACTTGGTTGGGTGTGAAAAAGTTATTGTTGTTAACATTCTTTTTTCATTCGGTTTTTCCAGTTGCGAGTCCTTTTTTAAAGCTGATCGTTTTGTGTTCATTTTGTTTAGTTCATTTTTCGTAACAGATTTAATGTTTAGTATAGTGTTTAGAAAAAATTCGCAGTGTGAGATAGGCAAGAAGTAAGGCATGTAGCAACATCAGCACGGCAAAGGACACTATTTTAAAGGCAAGAAAGGGCAAAAATATTTTAAATCAAGTGGTAGCGATTGCTGTATCTCGTACGATCTTTGAATCAAGCACGGGCAACGCCAGGCCATGCTGCTAGTATATATATATAATGTCATTCGCATACAGGGCTGTTTCTCCATACCACAGCTTATCAAAGCGACTAGACAACTAAATGTTTCAAGCTAGGACCTAAACCCGGAAGATTTGGTATCAGTCGAAGTTTCTACCCCTCAGCCATCGGCGCTTCGGCAGAGAGAAAGATAAATTCTAGAGCCTTGTTTTTACGAATAAACAAATGGCAAACAGCCAGAGTGCTCTATTCATTAATGAAGAGCGATGCGCTAGTGCTGACACCTGTTGTTTATAGAATTCGCCCATCTCTCAACAGTGCTCAACAGAAGATGAGAGCGTTATATATATAATTTTTCCAGGATAATTTTCCAACTTATTCAAGGTGTTCTTCGCCCGCTCTAACATTCTAACTTTCTATCCTGGAGTGAAAATGCGTCACACATGTTTCACATACAATTTAATTTTCAAGACGTTTTCACTGCTATTTGAACTGTCATCGGCACGTCACTGAAGGCCATAATGATTTTTCCTCTCACCATTGCTCAAATGACATGACACTGAGTCTGACAAAAAGATTTTAACCTGTTCTCTTTCTGGGGGAATTACCCAAAGTTTTTTTCAGTGATTCTTTCGACAAATTGTATCAAGATTGTATCTGAAAACCTGGAAAAAGGAAACACTATTAGTTTATCGTTTTTTTTTTTTTAGATATAAAAATTTTTATAGTAATGATTATTATGCTGTTACACTATATATATATATATATATATATATATATATATATATATATATATATATATATATATTGCCACCCACAGACAGACTGTTTCGGTGTTTCACAGCTCATCAGTGTGGCTAGATATCCAATTGCATCAAGTCGGGATCGGAGACACTACCCTTAATACACTACCCATTGGCGCACGGCAGGGATGAAAGTGAATTTAGACGTATTTATTTTAAATAAACACGCCAGTGACTGTGAGAAATTTACCGAAGAGTTTTGCACCAGCCGCAGTAATAGTCACTGTTTACAAATTCACTTTTCTCCCCAAGAGCTCAAACGAAATAATTTTCTTCGGGATCATGTATATTGCCATCCACAGAGAGATTGTTTCGCTGTTTCACAGCTCAGCAGTTTGGCTAAACATCTGATTGCCTCAAGCCGACATCGAAACCCGATAGATTTGGAAAGTCTAAACCATTGGCACACGACAGGGATGAAGGTGAACTCAATTCGTTTTAACGAAGAGTCTTGCATCAGCAGCAGTAGTAGTCACTATTTACAAATGCACTTTCTATATATATATATATATATATATATATATATATATATATATATATATATAGTGCGATGGAATAATTCTTTTCTAAATTGCGTAAAAATATCTTAAAATACTAACAAGTAAATTTATTCAATAAAATCGCCATTAGCTTCAACCACGGCGTCCAGACCACTTTGGAATCTCCTGCATATCTTCTGGGCAGTTTCCTTGTTGAAGTTGGAGAAAGCTGTCGTAATGCGTGCCTTCAATTCATCTTTGGTCTTACAAGGATATTTTTTTTTATTCTCTCGTTCAACTGCGTCCCCACACGTAATAAGAAATGGTGTTGCAGTGTGGGAAGTTAAGTAGCCAGATGTAAGGGGTGATCGCAGAAATTGTCTGACAGCCATGACTGGGTTCTCCTGCTTCTGTGCCATTGTGCAGAGTCCTGTTGCCAGACATAGGTCCTTCAAGCAGACGCCCTCTTGACCCATGGCAGCACTAGAATGTAGGACTTCGGGTTGAGCCTGAGGCCCTGTGGGAAGATGAATCGAGGCATAATGTCACCATCACCAGTGATTAATCCTTCGTAATCACCATTAGACTCTTTCCGAATCTTCTGCACTGTCCTCAGATTGAGACCTAAACACTATGAAATATTCGTATTGGAGCTTCCGACACGAATGGCAAGCAGTACAGCATGCCGGTTCCAAATTTCTGCCATAGTGAATTGCGTCATGGCGCTCTTTTTCTCACAGACGGTCTCCAACTGACACTACTCTACTGTGGAGTCGACAAAATCAAAAACAAACAACGCGCATGCTCGAAATTAAAAATATAAGATAGCGACTATTTACCCATTGCACATTGTATATTGTTACGATACTATGCTGACACCAGGTAGGTTAATTTGTTATAGTGAACTTTCTCTCTCTCTCTCTCTCTTTCTCTCTCTCTCTCTCTCTCTGTCTCTGTGATTATTACTTTCAGACAAAAGCCCTTAGATTAACTCATAACAACCATGTCGTCTGGATGCTAAAATAACTATTCACATTGAGTCACGACTTAAAATTCGAAATTGCGCGCGCAAAATCGTGACAAGTCAGTTGGGGCAACGAACTCCATGAGATCAGACCATCCATGAAATTGTCTCCGCAATGAAGGTTTCACGTACCTCCGCGGCCTTTTGGAAAGGATTAAGGGTTTATTTTTTGTTTCCTGTCTAGGGTTGGGTTTCTGGTTCCAGTCCCAGTAACTTCTTCCGTCTTAGTGACATTATCGCCACCCCTGATGAATTGATTAAAGAAAATGTTTCTTTCAAAAACCTGGCTTTAGTTAACCAGTTTGTTTTCACTTGTAATGGCATTAGATTACCAGTTTGTTTTCATCTGTAATGGCATTAGATTATCGGTTTGTTTTCATCTGTAATGGCATTAGATTACCGGTTTGTTTTCACCTGTAATGACATTTGATTACTGGGTTGTTTCCACCTGTAATGGCATTAGATTTCCAGTTTGTTTCCACCTGTAATGGTATAACATTACCAGTTTGTTTCCACCTGTAATAGGATTAGATCACCAGTTTGTTTCCACCTGTAATGCCATTTGATTACCAGTTTGTTTCCACCTGTAATGGCATTAGATTACTAGTTTGTTTCATCATCTTGTTACTATCTTGACTTATTAAACATTGATATTTTTTTGCATTGGAGTGTGATATATCTTTATGTGATCGCCTGTAATCGAGATATTTGTGGTCGCGTGATTTTTTCGTGTAAATATTATGTGTGTGTGTTTAACATTTTTATCAGATATTATTTTATCCTAGGGAATAAAGCAGAGATCAGTGCTTTCATGCGAGACATAACGCACAAATGCTCAGATAACAGATGACAGATTAATCAATGTGAAAGCACACACACACACACACACACACACACACACACACACACACACACACACACACACACATATATATATATATATATATATATATATATATATATATATATATATATATATATGTATGTATATATGTACTGGCGTTCTAAACTCAAGGAACGAGTACGCGTTTTGTCAAAGGACCAAAAATAAAAAAAAATCATAACGGATTATAACTTCAACTGAAAAACATGAATATTTCTTAAAAGTAATATAAGTTAATGTACAGGGGTTAAACAAAATAATTGGAACAGTTGCACAATCCCCTCCTATATTTCAAAGATCTATTATATTAAGAACTTTAACTAAAACTTCGTAATTGCAGGTTATATCTATTGTAAATACGTTTATTTATCTAATTTACTGTCTTTGTCTTATTTATTTTTAGAATTTAGTAAAATTTCAGCTAAATGCGTGACCTCTCCGAGGTGGAAAAAGAGCAAATTGTTGGAGCTCGCATGGCAGGAGCCTCGATCACTAAGGTTGCTGAACTGTTTGGCTTTTTCAAGAGCTACCATGTCAAGAACACTGATGCAATTCGAGAAACAGGGCAAGACCTCTAGTAACCGTAGGAATTCGGGCCGGACTTGCAAACTTACTGACAGGGATTGACGTGCATTGAAACGCAATGTGACAAAAAAATCATCGGACAAATGCGGCCAAATTGACTGCTGAGTTGAATAACCGTCTGAATAGTTCAGTTTCTACTAAAACTGTTCACCCTGATCTCCATAAGGCTGCATATCGCGGAAGAGCCTCTGTGAGCAGACCTCTTCTCTCCACTCACAACATTCAAAAGAGGTGCAGACCAACGGAAGTAAGTCATATTCTCAACCAAGTCCAGTTTTTCTCTTTTCCCAACTTCAGGGAGAGTTTATGTGCGGGGCCAGCCCAATGAAGCTTACAACCCTGACTGCCTTCTTCCAGCAGTGAAGAATGGAGGTGGATCAGTGATAGTTTGGGCCTCCATATCATGAAAATGTCTCAGTCCAATAGTTGCCCTGCATGGTAGAATTAACAGCAAAGTTTACCTGAACATTTTGGGAGATCATGTTCATCCAAGGGCCAAGACTTTATTCCCTGATGGTGACTGCATCTTCCAAGACGATAATGAACCAATACATGCCACTCGAGTGGTTAAGAATTGGTATGAGGAATATAAAAGTGAGCTAGAACACATGGAGTGGCCTCCCCAATCTCAATATATCAATATTATTCAACATTTGTGGTGCATTTTGGGGCAACAAGTTAGGAGCCGCTATCATCCACCGTCGCGTCGTAAAGAGCTGGAGAAGGTTTTAATGGAAGAACGGCTGAAAATTTCCCTGGATGAAGTCAGGAAGCTGTACGATTCCATTCTTAGACGTATTAAAGCTGTATGTGAGGCTAGAGGAGGACCAACTCCATATTAAATAAATTTTACAAGTACTAGTTTTGTTTATAGGTTTCCATTTTACTGGGGATGACCCATGCCCTTTATGCCTACATGAAAAACATTATTAAGTTTCTAAATAATAAAAATCTATTAATCAATAGACATGAGTTAACGGTTTTTTGCCGACATAATCAAATTTTTGCATTGAATAATTAGCATAAAAACAAACAAACAAACAAACAATAAAATAATTTTTAAATTCCATAGTCCTAATAAATAGTTTAAAAATTTGCCCTACAAAAAAAGATAACCCTTTATGAAGTCGTCAAAAACAAATGTTACGGCAGTTTTTATATACACAAAACCCTTTCAGAAAAAAATAAAATAAAAAATAAATAAATCTCCATAGACACGTAAACAAGACTAGGCGAAATCATCTTCCGTTTTAAATTTAGACACCCCAACATTACCCTGACTTGACATCTGTGAATGTAACTTTATACTGATACAAATTATTAACACCTTACACCCCTGTTTATTTAAACAATTGCTCTAGCCTTTACCATAGAAATTTTGATTTCAATAATGAATATGCTATTAAAACATGTAAATTTCAGAAATAAGTTATTCCAAAAAAATTTCGCTTGAAGATGGAACAGAGCTTACTTTAATTCAATTTAATTCAAATAATTATATTGAAGTTTTCGGCTCTTGTTTTGAAACATGGTAACTCTTATATAGCGTGTTGGAATCATATTTTTAAATAAATAATTATATTTATGCTCTACTTTTGTATCGAGCACTATTTTTTTTAAAATAATAAAAAAATACTAAAGAACTTTGAATTATTTACCTAACGAGATCTTTCCTATTCTCTATATATTTTTCACACACACACACACACACACACACACACACACACACACACACACACACATATATATATATATATATATATATATATATATATATATATATATATATATATAATGAAAATGTGAAAATTTAGAAAAAAAATGAAAAATCAAAATTATGCAATTATATTTGTTTAAAATGAATGAAATGTCGACGTCGACATTTCATTCATTTTAAACAAATATAATTGCATTTAAGGACTTTTTTTTGTTTTTTCCAAATTTTCTTCATATATATAAAATATATATATATATATATATATAGTTGTATATTTAGGCAGCAATCCTTCCTTTATACATGCTGCATTAAAAACGACAGACAAGGTACTACGGTTAAGCTTTATATTTATATATATATATATATATATATATATATATATATATATATATATAAGAATTGGAATCAAATATAGGTTATAATCCAACATTATGATAACATTAGTATAAGGAACAAAAAGAAAACTTTTATAAATTTAATGTTTTGTCTTTGTTTTTATTTTTCAGTTTCTGATGAAACTTAAATAAAAGTGAAACGTGTCATATATATACACCTTTCCTACTTTTTCCTTATCCTATCATATGTGTATATACACGAATGAATTCTTGCTATATGAGATAACAATGTCTTCTTCAGTTGAAAATAGCAGTCGTTTTTGTATGTATATGTGTATATGCTCCTGCGATGCATTTTTCGCCCCATGCAAGGAAATAAAGCCACTGAGACACAAGACGTTACTGTGTGTGAAAGAGTTAGACCGGAGTGAGATAAAAAGAGGAGTCATCAAATAGTAGGTAACGACTGAGAATCCATTTAAATTTTTGCATATTCATGTCGGCTGGAAAGCGTGGAGCGAGAAGTGTGAGAAAAAAAATTTCAGCATAAAATTTATGGTTACATCTTGTTAACTCAAACTGTGAGTTAGTGAGTCTACTACAATACTTCAATTCAAAGAATCTATGTAACATCGCAGTTATGACCAAGTAATTGGTTAAGAAATAACAAAGCAATAGGTTGCATATAAATAGTGTATTGCACAGTAAATACAACAGAAGTGTGTTAAACGACCTGGGAGTGTGTGTCGGTTGATCAGTGTTCAGTCTATATCACTGTTATATTTAGCAGATTCCCCCATGTGGGTACATGTGGCACAAGGCTGAGTTTAACGTGGGTCATCCGAGCCCGTAGGCCCGGCCAAAAAATCCCCGTGGATACAGCCTCCCGCATAAACGTGTTCGGGTCTGTCTATCTTCCCGGACGAAACTCTACCCTTCGGTACAGCCTTGTCCGGGTTCCTCTCTGCCCAGGACAGAGAGTTCGACAGTATCTGCGAACAACCTCAGTAAAACAGTTAGATCAATGTTAATATTTAACAGCCTCGTCCGGGTTCCTTGCTACCAAGGCAGAGAGTTTGACAGTTGAACAGTCTGGAGTACTGTTAATATTTAACAACACACCCAAGAAGGGTGTATGTGGCACAAGGCCGGTTTATTATGGGTACTCCGAGCCTGTAGGCTCGACCAAAAATATTCCCTTTGAACCCGCCTAAACGGGTTCAGGGCCTGTCTACCTCTCCGGACGAAACTTTCCCCTGCGGCAAAGGGTTTGACAGTTGGACAGGATGGAGCACTGTTATATTTAACAGTCCCACCACAAAGAATGTATGAGGCACAAGGCCAGGCTTAACATGGGTTTCTCCAAGCCCGTAGGCTCGGCTAAAAATATTCCCTTTGAACCGACCTAAACGAGT